CTCCTCTAAAACTTAAGCCGCTATTAGTTTTTGCAGTGACAGCACTAAGTCCTCACCGGCGGTCATAATCATTATAACGCGTCCGCTAACTCGGATTAAGTTATCGGCCTCTCGTTAAATTATTGTCTAGGAAGAGCGCCCGGTTTCTATTTCTATAGGTATACGCGCGTCATGCAACTTCCAGTTATACCCGTTTCTTGCCTCTCATTACATCTCAATAAATAATTTTGTCCTCAAAAATGTATATTTTAGGTATACTTTCATTCACAATTACTTAAAAAGGAATGTTCGCGTGTTCTGTCCAACTTCGTTATCTCTCCAGCTTTGGAATTATTTTTTAATGATATAGTAAAAGCAATTAAAAAACCTTAATAATAATAACAATTTGGAAAAAAAATCGTAAAAAAAAATTATAATGCACGTGTTAAATCAATGATCTTAAAAGGTGAAGATTGGTAAGAGCACGCGGTGTTGCGGCAAATTGCAACAATCGCGACAAGGATCGTCCGTACGGAATTAGAAGACGGGTGAGATGAAGTTGGTGAACTTCGAGACGCGGGCGTCCGCGTGTGCGTGTGCTTCTTAATAGCGGGCGGTATGCGGAAGGCTGCGTGTATCCCGTAGAGGTAGGAGAGCGCGACGTTACAAAAGACATACTCGAGGACGCATTCCCGCGACGCGGCGGTATTCCTTTGAGGAGCGGCCACCCGTTGACAAGTCCGCAAACTTGGCGTCGCTTTTGTGGTGAATGCACGTCGCGCAACGGCGACGTCGATTTAAGAGATTCTCTTTCGGTAGTTTCGGTAGAACCTGCTGCCAGGGATCCGTCTACTCTCGCTCCGAATCGCGCTCGCTTATAGTAAACAATCGAGATTCGCGTGCGAATAACTTGTGAAGATAATTGCGATTTATCCAAGATTATTACGCTCAATGTTTGGAGATTAATTGCAAGAGAAAACAGAATTGTTCTTAATGCCGGATTAGTCATATATACATGTGGATATTGCGACGTGACGGTTAAACGATCGCGATATCTCTCTTTATTTCCTCCGGAACCGAAAATTACATTACTTTGAGGCTGACAAACGCGCGCAGAATCGGCGTGACAGGTACCCAAAGGTCCTCCGCAATATTCCCGAGTCCTTCAGGAGGCAGGTGCCTCGCTGACGGCGCCGGAGGGGGCTCGGCGGCGCCGTCGCCGGCGGATGCTCGGGTCCCACGGGAGTCTGAGTCCGCGTCAGAGCTACCCTGGGTACGCGGTCCCACGGGATCTCCCTCGACTTTCCTCCCGACTACCCTCTCTACCTCTCTCGACTACCCATCGCAGCAACGGCGCGGTGGCGACGGCAGCGGCGGCGGCGGCGGCGGCGGCGGCGGCGGCGGCGGCGGCGGCGGCGGTGGCTCTTCCCAATGGCGGCGGCTGTCTACCGTCTGCCTGCCTGCTTGCCTGCCTGCCTGTCACGGACTCCAAGACGTACGGCGGTTGCAACGGCGGATAGAGATATCGCGCGCGCGATCCCGGATATAACCCGCAGGGCGCTCCTTTATTCGCGTCGTATCGATTAATGACTCGCGGACCCTCGCCGACTTTCGCGAGGATCGACGCGCCCCGCGGGACGCACCCCGACGCAACCGGAAGGGTTTACCGGTGAGGTCAGCTCGTGGAACTTGACACGGAACGAGAGGGATGTTGTCGTAAAATTATCAGAACACTGCGTTAAATTTCTAACCGCTTCGGGAAATCGTTTGTCCGCGCTGCATCATGAGAATCATCGAGGGATTTCTTATCTTACATTAGCGTGGATAGATAAAAACTTTTATTTACCATATATAATCATCTATCAAATGCCGCATATGTTATCTTAATTTAAAATCGCTGACGTTTCAAAGTTTATCTTTTAAATGGACCATCTGCGTTTATCTGCTAATTTTCCGCAACATCGAGTTTGCATGCATAAAGTCTCTTTTTTTCTTGTTCTTCATATTTTATTAAATTATAACGCGATTACATAAAAATCCGAGACGATTAAGGCGCTACAAAATTCGCATCCACGTATAAGAACGGAGGCAGGCGAGATCGCCAGCCCTCTGGAAATTCCTAGGAATCAAGATAAAACGTTATTATTTGGAAGATGCGATATACTTCCACCGCGGGAGGCATTATCGAGAGACGGGGGCATCGTGACTCGAATGATCCTCCTAGAAGGGGTTAAGCCGCAATATGCAGTTATCTTGCCCGGCGTGCATGCCGAAGCCATAATAACACATCCGTTTAACGTTAGCCAGCGGAGCTCGGGGCCGAGATTGCAACCTGTATTTTCGTGAGTTTACCTCCCCCCCCCCGCCTCTCTCCGCTCGCGCGCGCGGCCTGCACCTTCTCTCCCGGACCATCTTGAGAATAGCATCGTCTAGGCCAGGCCCCGTATTACATTGGCTCGTTGCGAAACGACGTACGCGCGTTATAGGTGTATACCGGTGTATACGTGCGGAAAGGGTGCCCTGGAGCCGATACAGCCGATCCCACCCTCCGCCTTTACGATTATTGTCATAAGGGCGCACGCAGCCCCGTCTCATCGTCAAATTGTTTACGATGTTTTACGGTAAATTGAATACGTCGACGTGAGAGTGATACGATCGTTTCTCCAGAAATAATATCTGCGCACAACACCGTTAACATTTTGCTAAACATATTTCTATTTTATAAAAGATACAAGGAAATAGAAAGACATTATTTTCCTAGAAAACACTTTTCGCAATTATAAATGACGGTGAAATTTGGTTTTTACACCTAAAAAAGAAACTCGAGTGATAATCTATATAAGCACGCATCTCGCCTTGAGTCTGGGACAATTAACGAATCGACCGAAACTCGCCGAAAGTCCTCGGTTACACAACAATGATGGATGAACCATTAACCACCGCCGTAGTAACGCGAACCGCGTTTTGGCGCGAGACACGCCTGACAGCTGACAGGGTTCGTAGGGCGTCGAGGTGCACGATCGAAGGACGCGGTACCTTCGCGTCGTGTCTTCTGGAATATTTAAGCTCCACCGCCCCGTCTGTAGATTTGACGTTCATCCGTCTGACGTTTAACCGCAGCAGTTAAAGCAACGTTTAGGTCGCGATTAGGCTAAAGTCAATTTGCGCATTTCTTTTATTAAATTCATACTTTAGTTGTTTTTTCTTTATTTTTCGATAGTTGTAACATACCTACATGCGAGAACCATGAAGTCAATTTTATTTTTATTTATTGTTACTTTGACAGTTACACAGAAAGAATGATTTTGCTGAAGTATATATAGGTATCTAAAATTTAGTTTCAATTTAGATAGAGATTTAAAAATTATTTTGTTGAAGCATTAAAATAATTATGTAGGAAATTGAACGATTTACGTCATGCTGTAAAAAGTTTCGACATTTTAACAACCAGCATAGATCCTAATTTTGATACTCCCAACAAAATTATTTAATGTACTTTCGGCAAGAGGATCAAGAAAAATAGTATACGACCCATGGCCATAATGTTGGATGCCCTGACATATGTGATATGATGGCCTCGGCTGCGCCTCGGCCATCATATCACATACGCCAGGAAATCC